TGATCGACGGGATCATCATTCGCTAATTGTAATTGGCGCAGTACTAATGCGTCATAACTAGACTATCACTAACAACATCTAACTTCTCGATGGACTTTTAATTTTTATTTTTGAATTTTTATTTTCAAGGTGGAAGAATATTCTCGTCAAAAAGTTCACTTCGCAATGCTTTTCGAGCTGTATTTAGGAATTAGTAAGGTCGATAGTTTCTCATCACATGATCATTCAGAAGCAAAAATTAGGGCTCGTGACATAAAATGATAGTCAAGACTCGAATTTTTTCTCGAGTCGGGTCAAATGACCCGACTTGTCATGTGATGTAGATTTAGTGATCGCAGCAATTAAGATTAAAAAAAAACTCCTTATTTTTATCCCAATTAAACATTCATCACTTTTTACTGTCTAATTAAAGAATACAGCAGCATTGACCATTCCAAGGCATTAGAATCAAAAGGTTTGCGTTTCAAAATTTCACAGATTGATTGATAATCGCAAATTATAATTTTTTTTGAAAAATGACATTCGACCAACAACAACAAAAAAAGGATACTGATACTAATTGTCAAAATTGGTTAAATCGAAATACAAAAAAGATTGGCTTTGCGGGCACTTGCGATTTTTGATGTTTCAAAGTATGCATGGCTTAAGCCAAATATACTTAACTGACAACAATTACAACCATTAAAAACAGCGTAGTTTTTCATCCAAAAAATTCTAATTTTCTTGTGAAGTATTAAATAGTTATATTTATAATACAAATAATTAATTTGTATTATGCATAAAAAAAGATTGATGTACATGTACAATCTTAAATAAAGAAGAAAAAAATAGTTCGGAAATTTCTGGAATAAAGAAAAAAGCCCGAGAATACCACTGTAGATGAAAATGTAATACGTTTTTCCTTTACACAGTAAATACTTTGTGTAACATTTTTTTTTAATAGAACAACTGTTTTCTAAAAATGTTTGTAAAGGAATTAATCCTTTTTGATTTTCAAATTGTAAATATTCATTATACTTTAGAGGGCAAGCCCCATGTTGTGATGCATGTACGCAAAAGGAATTTATTCAATCCTTAATAACTAACAATCATTAGCTTTAAAAGAATATATTAAAAAATTGATAGGCAAATAAATAAATGCACCCCAACATTTATATTGTATTTGTAATGGAATATTGCGCCTGTTTAAGAACATTTGACATTTAGTTAGACACATACTATATATCCTTATAATAAATAAATAAATAATACCACGAGATTCAATGTCAAAATATTTAAAAAATTAAATTGAAAATATTTCTTAAATTTTTGCGATTTCTACAGAAGAATAAACACGTGATTGTTAATTGGTTTTGCCAAGGCGTTTATTATATATCGATATATATATGTATATAAAAATAATACACTTTATTATATATGTTGTTAGAAATTTGAAATTTATACAGAGTTTTGTAAATTGGTGGCTTGCACATAAATATTCATAATATACGTTGTAATGATATTGTTATTTATAATTAGACTCTTCAAAACTTCATTCGTTTCGAAATATGCATTGTTTGGTCCTCAGTAATATATATATATTTTTTTAATTCGATTGATTCGTTTCTTGATCTATTTTTTTTTTATGAATGAGATGTATATATATATATAGAATCTCAAAAAAAAAAAAAAATAAAATAATTATTTAAATACCTTTGAAACGGTTGATTTGATTTTATGTTCATTGGATAAATTACTTATTCAACATGAACGATAATAACACAAACAACACAAACCTATATTTTTTGGAGCCAGTAACTTCAAAAACATTAGAAAGAAGGGATGACACTCCGAAGAAAAGAACACCTAACATGTTCATTTCATATCGTACAGAAATGTTGAAATTTAAACCAAATAATATAACGATGACCGAATTCAGCAAACAAATATCAACGAAATGGAAAAACTTATCGGTAGAGGAAAAGGCTGAATTACAAAAGAAATATCAAATAAGCAGAGAAAATTTGCGCTACATGTCCATTGACGTTGTTATAACCAACACATATGATTCTGTATTCATGGAATACTACTTGTTATAAAAAAATAACTTGATTAATAATAATTTTCAATGAAAAAAAATAAAAGTTGCAAAACAATTCAACTTATTTAATTCCTCGTTCAAAAAGACAAATAATAACAATTCGTGTTCGATTATCTCTACCGTTTTCATTTATATTTGTACTTCGGAACTTCTATTTTTAATTATTTAAACGCGCGATATTTACTAGATTAATATTCATTTTTTAAAATTATTTCGTTTAAATTTATGTATATGATATGCATTGATTTTTTAAAATAGTAATTAATATTAAGTTATTATTATAAATATAAATGTTAATCAAACCTTTAAATAAACACGGCTATATGTATAAAGAACTTGTCTAACGTTTCAAGGAACATATATTTACATGTGATGTTTGGCATGAAACGCGCAGATAATAATTATAAATGAGTGTGATCCGTTATATCCCATGCGGTAAGCCGATGGCTATGGGAATACCATATCGTATCGTATCGATTCGTGCTAATCCATTTGGGCACCAAGGTTATATTTTGCACTTTTAAACAGGATACCATGAATTCAATTATAACTTTGTATCACGGGTAAAGAATTTTTTTTTTCAAAGTTTGCAGAATCCTTGCATTATCACTTAGGGCGTATCCAACTTTAATACATAATATAATATATAAAGATAAATATTATAATAACAACAACAATGAAAAAGAGATTATAATGAGTTCATCTAATATGAATTAAACAAGTAAAAAGTGGTACATGACTATTTATGGACTACTCTCCTGAATCATTACTACCTTATATTACTGGTTAATATCCGGTTAAACAAATCATTCATGTTTCCAACAATACTTTGTTTATTGGTTGTTTCCCATAAAGTAATTTTTATGTTCATTTTAAATTTTATTGATAAGAAAGCAAGGAACAAAAAAAACGCATTACTACTTAAAATTATGAATTCGTATTATCCTTATTTATGAATAACAATGTGTAAGTACTACATGCTGCAGTTTCTAGAGCATAGCGTCGAAGAGAAGCTGAAGAAGAAACCGATATACTCATTCATATCGTAAAGAAATGATGAGATGAAACAAACAGAATTACAAAAAAAATCTAGATCAAACATTACAATCAAATTGGAAAAGCCTGAATTCTAAATAATCTAAATTTTATGTACTTTAAATATTGTGGTCTTTAATTGTATATGATTGTCTTCTATTTATCTTTGCATAATCAGAGAGATTTTTTTAATTTAGATTCCCTTAAATAGGCTTCATTTGATTTATGTAACACTGTCTAATGAATTTTTATTTTTATCAAAAATTTTATATTAGCACACTAATAGATTGATTTAAACCAATCACTACCTAATTTGTCCTAATATGAGTTTGTGGCACAACAGAAATATTCGCGTTATCATAAATCGTAAAATGGAAATCATTTTATTATTGGCAATCTTTTAATCGTAAATACTTTCCTGGCCCATTGCACAGACATGGTGAAATAATTACAAATGACTTCAAAAAAATTATCCGCTCAAAAAGTTCAAAGCTAGATTTATGAAAAAGATTGGGAAAAAAAATTCTCAATAGGAAAAAGCGTTAATTTAGATTTGTTCTAATTAATTTTTACAACACTTTTCTTTTTGGACGCCCCATAACAAGTATGAATGGGATCTTCCATTATATTAAACCGCATTAGATTTGTATCACATAAATAATTTTATTATAGCCCCGAGTGAAAGTCATTTATCGTTTTTATCAGTAAATTGTTTGCATAACATAGTTTATGAAGGGATAATTGGATGATTCTTGCGTAACGAAAATTTTGAAAAAAAAATATATATATATTTGGAATGTCCAGAACAATATTAATGCATGTAACCTTTATTCACGCGTTTTAAAATGGAGAGATTACACGGAATTGTATAAGTGTCGTAGAAATCAGAAGATAATCCGATGGATTTCATGAGGTGTTTACAGTATATGAACTTGAGATTATTAATTTGTTTATAAAAGGACATAGGCTTATTCATCTAATATTGAAAAAATGCTCAAGCTATAGATAAAAGTACTAGACTTTGAAATATAATATTGGACAATGTAACATTACATTGAGTAAATATCAATTTACTGAATATTAAAATGCGTTTAGATGTGACTAAATAATCCATCAAACAATAATCGTCTCATCATCTATTCAAATATTACTGGAAGTACAAAAAAAATTTTTTTATTTGGTTTTAGAATTTTAATTACATTAATAATCACTAATAAGTTCCACTTTTTTATTTAGAAACGAACTGACATGATTGCACAATAACAAAGTATGTCAAATCACGTTGATAATAATTTTATTTATTATATTAATCGTATCATCATTTTTTTTGTGCAAACAAAAAAACTATATGCATGATCAAAATATCAAATTCTTTTTATCTAAATAAGTTAAACATCAAAGAATTTTCAATAATTAATTTTATCAAAGGAATCGTACCTTTGTTATTACATGTGATCATGATCTCCTTTCATGCATCATAAATATACCCTTTTCTTTCAATATGCAATTAATTTATTTCTTAGGTATGTCTAATTTAAATTTTGATTTAATTTGTTTAATTATAGTGTTATGAGTGTATAATTCAAACAATATTTCGATAAACAGCATGTATACAATGATTATTTTAACTCTCATAGCTACAATTTTAATTGAATACGAATTTATTTATAGGTAAATCCGAAATCAGTCTTGCATATCTGAATATAGATAAGTCTTTCAAATAAAAAAAAAAGGAATAGAATAAGTAATTATTTGAATACAGAATATTCAACTCGATGATCAATTTAATTAATGTATCTTCTATGCACAACTATTTGTACAAGGAACGAGATTATCTTTATTAGGTAGTAACCAATTCATTATTTTATTTTGCATCTATTAGGATCTCAGCGGGACCTCAAATGGCTGATATAGTCGACGCATGACGTATGTAATTACGTGCACTTTCTCCAATCCTCTGTCCTAAATAGACCACTCAATAAACGAGGTATTATATCAGCCTATCAAGTGATATTTAACCGCCTCTGCTAGTAGTATCAGCCGTTGGAGTCTGAGTCGATGGATGAGATGGATGAGTCGACTCTGCAAAAATCAAGTAGAGTCGACTTTAGAATTTTCAATGACTAAGGCATGCTGGGTTGCTATTTCAAATTTGATATAAGGTCAGAATAATGAGAAATTTTTAATTAAATAAAACTTCAAATTTTTAGTCAAATGGGATTATGTCAACATAAACTTATAATTATCTATTTTTTGCAACATTAATTAAATTTTAAAATTTTCTGATAAATATTAAGATATTAATTATACAATTATGGTCACTAATTTCAAATGATAGTCTCGACTCAGTCGACGGCTGAGGACGGCTGAGTCGACTGGAAAGTCTCTAATGGCTGATTGAGTCGACTCCAGAATTTGTCACGACTTGTACTACTAGCCTCTGCCCAATAACTATATTATTTTATTTTTATTAAATTGATAATAATATAATTATTTTAATATTGATCGTTTTGTTACACACACATTAAAGATTTCATTTTTCAAGGTTGCGATTAAATCAATTAAACTAATTCGTAATTATAAATAAATAAAAAGGAGATTGAACCAATTTAGAAATAATCGCGTTTTGCTTATTCAACAAAAATCCACGTGTCCTTTATAGCTTGAAAATTATTAATTCAAGAAGCAAATAATACTTGTTACATGCAAATAATTGTCCTATTCCACCATCAGTATATTGGAAAAAAATAAATGAATCGCAATTCGTATTAGATCTTCGTAGGTCTAATTACCGACATTGTTATAACTGGTCAGATTTACTGACGATCATTACGTATTTGGACAAAACATACATATAACAATGCAATGATAACAATGGGGGGCGTAGTTACACTCAGGCAATATATTTTGTTACTTTAGATCTTTTATTATACAAATTCAGAACAGAATTGTAAATTCGATTTCAAAATTATTTCAACCCATAAACCAAATGTTAATTCGAATCACGTTTGTAGCGCCGGTACGTTCAATCACTTTTGGCAACGTGCAGAATTTTATTATTTTAAAAGTAATAATAAAGCAAAAGTTCAAATGTAATGTCAAAAAGAATCTTTTTTTTAATAACCAATAAAATTGTTTTAAATCTTTATTGTATATGCGCATACCGATTGAATTAAGAACAATATGTTCTATTATGTTTGTTAAAATTTTCCGAATGGCTCATTTTGATCGGCAAAACATCGGTGGATATCAAATGAAATCTAGCTTATTTTAATTTGGATTTAGACATTCAGCATTTGTTTTTTTTTAAAAAAAAAAAAAAATAAAGAATTAATTTATCTTTTATAATTACAAGTAAATACGACAAGAAATGATGAATCCGAATCGAATAAAATCTTGTGATGGCACCATATTACTTGACGCAATTATTCTGATTATTATCCAAAAAAGGATGCGATATTATAAATTTTTTTTTTTTGTTTTCCAACCAATTTTATGTAATATAGTATATTGATCCTATAGTTAGAAGTAATAAAATAGATCATATGAAAGCTTATGTATCATAAAGGTAATACATAACATAATAATAGAAAATGTTACAAAAAGAAATTACAAGAATAAGAAAAAAAGAACAGAATAAGTAGTATAAATTACTAAAAGAAATTAATGAAATATTCTAGTAATAACAGAATAAGAAGTTAAATAGCAGAAACAATAAGAATATTGAATATTATATAGTAATAATTAGATTATTCATCATATGCAGTTATTATTCATCGCATATTTACTATAATAAATATTTAAATAATTAATTAGATTATTCATCACAGGTAATTATTATTTATCACTTTTACTATGTAAATTTATTATATAAACCCTTTAAATACTATCAAGGAACTCATATTTATTTTCCCTTTTCCAAATAAAAATAAATAAATAAATTATTTTAATAAATGAATTTTTAAATACAAATAAAAATGAATACTTTTATTTGAAATGGTTAGTTGTTAAATAACCAAACATGAAAATAAATAAAGTTATTTCACTTGTATATAAATTGTAATTTAGAGAATTGTTAGAGAAATTATGTCGAAATAAAGCAAAAGGAAATATTCTGATTAAAATAATAATAGGAAAAATTAGAAATAAGTTAAAAAAGAATCACAGAAAGAATAAAATTACCGTTAAATCAATTATAAGAAATAATAATGATAACAAGAAGAAATTATAAATATAATAAAAGAAATATAAGAAAGAATTATAAGAATAATATCAACACAAGAAAAAAATTACTAATAGAATAAAAGTAACGTAATAATTATTATAAGAAGAATTATAATAATATAGAAAAAATAACAATAATGTAAAAAAGTATAAACTTAAGAAGAAGAAAAGATAGATACAAGAAGAAAAATAAAGCTTAGAATAATATCCTTTTAGAATAAGATATTTTTTAAAGATAGTTTAATAGTATTTCGAATAAATATTTGACATATCTAGTGAGAATCTCAATATTAATACCTTATGTATTATGTTATAGTTCATTAATGAATAAGATTAAAATATAGATATGATTTGCAATTCTTTATAAGATTGTTATAGTATCTAGATGTTTTAATTAATAATAAAAAGTAAGATATTAGAAGAAAAAATAAGAGAAGAAATATAATATTAGAAAAAAGAAAAAAAAATAATAGAAGGAAAATTAAATAATAATAATATTGTAAAGAAATTATAAGAAGAAATTAATGCTTAAAATATAAAAAATAATTCTCAGAAGTTAAATATTAATTTGTGAAACAAATTTTTTTGATGTGAGTAGCAGAAATGATTAAGAAGATATAAGCTACATTGAAGTTTTTGAACTCAAAAATGCTATTTATTTGTAAAATAAGAGTTATGACAACTATACTACTTACTTAAATAGTGAGATCTTTAACATCAACAATCTTAAAGTATTGATCCTTTATTATTATCCTTACTACTAACTAGATCAATTAATTTTTCTTGATTAATGAAATCATTATTTCTTCTCAATATAGATCACCACTTTATTTATTATCTTTCACATTTATTGATATTTTCTTTAATAAAGAAGCTTCTTCAAATATATATATAGATGGATCTTTGTCAGTAGCAGTTTCAGATAATTGTTGAATAAGACTTGGATAGATCTTTTTTGACTTTCATAACCAAAAATTTTGTTCTTTTTTAGCAGTACTAGAATATTTCTATTTTACAAGAGTAAATTTGAGGTTGCTAGATAAGATCAAGAGTTTAGATAGAAGTCTAAATGATAAAAGTAAAACTTGATTAAATTATATTAAAATCTTATTAATAAATCTGTGAAATTCAAAAAAGGTAAAACTATATCAAAACTTATAAAAATGATAAAACTATATCAAATATTTAGTAAAAATTTAGTGAAACTAAAAATTCAAATGCTTAACCAAATCCAAAATGAGTTTAGATAAGCAACCTTAACTAAATTATTTGCATTACTCACAGTCTTAATTGTTTGTTTATCTTCATCTTTACTTAAAAGTTATTTGAATAACCAAGTTGTCATTTAAGGATTTAATAGTTTAATCTACAATTTCTGTACTTTCTGATTTATGGAAAAAGTTTCTAACTATATAATATGGACTTTAATTAAACATATTGTCTTAACTAGGATTTCACAATTTGATTTGATATTTAAATATTTAATTTGAAAATCAAATCAAATATAAATTCAAATTAATAATTGATTTAATTTAATCAAATTCAAATCAGAGAAAAATTATTTGATCATATATGAATTAATTTTTGATATGATTTGATCAAATTCAAATTAAAGGAACTTTATTTGATCAAATACAAATTAATCTTCAAATATTTGATTTGATTTGCAAATTGTATATAAGTATTTTCTACAAATATTTTAATATGGTTGAAACTTTCTATAGCAACTTTTAATTTTTAAAGAAAATTCAGTAAAGTTATACTAAACTATTTGTTTTATTTATTATATGATTATTATTATATTTAAAATTAGTAAAAAATTTTATTTTATCAGAAATTATTTTTATTAGTAATTAAATTTATTGTTCGTAATATAAAAATAAAAAATAATTAAATATTCACAATATATATTAAATAATAATAAAAAAAATAATAAATGTTCGTAAAATTTATATAAATAAGATAAAATATGTTTAATATAGAAAAGAAAAAAAGAAAAGAGTTCGCAAATATATAAAAAGAAAAAAAATGGAAAAAATGTTTGTAAATAAATATATATATTGTCAACGTCTGAAATCAACCTTACTGCACTAATCATTAGTGACCAATGGAATGATGACATAATAAGCATGACCAATACTGTGCTGAATTATCTGCAAAATTCTGGATTTTGATGTTTCTTAGGATCCACAGGATTCTGGGAATTCGTAGGATTCTTAGGATTTACTGGATTAGTCAGATTATCCTGATTCGTTAGATTTTCCTAATTCCCTTTATTTTCATTATTTTAATTATTATCGTTATTCTTTTTATTTTCATTATTTTTATTATACTTATTATTATTATTATATTTACACTTGTAGTTACAAATTTAGTTAGTTTATAGCATAGCAATTAGTTAGCTGTAGCAAATTAATTTTGTATAAATAGAATAGCTTTTTGCTCATGTTGTAAAATAACTCTCTTGTAAGTTCTAAAATACTTGTGAGTTTCAAGTAATAAATAAAGGAATCAATTTTAAAACAAAAATACTTTTCCCTTCTACATGTCCATCATCTAGGATTTGATCGTGAACCACTACACTAACTTGCGATTGAGTTCATCATTTAGAATATATAAATTCTCTAAATTTCCTAAGTTCCTAAACCCTTAAGTTCGTAAAACCAAGTGAAGTAATTCCAAGACATTTCGGATACCTGTA